TAATTATAGTGTATTAAGTTTAGTACCTTTAATAACAGCTCCTAACTTAATGTGTCATAAATTGACACTTGTGCAGTAGTGCTGGTGCACATCTTTCACATGATGCTAATGCATAGTATATTAATTCTATGGTGCGTTAGCACAGCTTTAACTGTGATGCACTGATGCACAGTACTTTTAGCGTCTTGTGTAGATGTGCCCTCTGGATTGGTGATTAGAAAGACTGGCCTGGAGAGGAAGGATGCTAGAGGGTTCTTGTCTCTGCTCTAGTGAATATTTAATTGCCCAAATAAAGCAGTACTATGTCAAGAAGAGAAACATAACATCCCCCATATGAATACTGTATATCATGGAGGTTAGGACAGTTCTAGGGGTGTGTAATGTGGCCTCAAACCTCCTTAGACAGAGGAGAGAATTGAACCTACATTTCCTACATTATGGGTCAGTGCTCTAATCACTCTAGCTGAAAGGAGACTGCTTCAGACCTCTTGTTCTTAATTTCTTTTGCTTTCCTTGAAGTCACCAGCATATTTAGTTTGGGGCACAATGGAATGTTCTTTGTATTTTCATTTCATTCAGAAAAAAATATAAAATTTTGGTTTTGTTCCAAACCAGTATTTTTTTTCTTTGTCAGTGAACCGAAAATTCAGTTGTTCATACAACCCTTTATAGAAGCTACTTGATTTAGTTCATATCACATAGGGACAAGCTTCCTTTCAAAACTGTCAATTAAATGAACAGGGATGGCTGAAAAGTGGAGATAAAGCACACCATTTTCTGTTATGCTGTAAAGCAGTGTTTCTTGACCGGCAGGTTAGACTCTAAATCTAAAAATGTCCCATTCACCCACAGAACTTTACACTGCAATAACAAGTGGGTGTCTTTTAATTTTTTTCTATGTCAGTCTCTTGAAAGGCTTCTCCTCCCCCAAAATTTAAGCAGGCTTCTTATTACATTTTAAAATTAAGTGTAAAGGGAAGGAAGGGTCCATATTTTTTCTTTGGAAATAAGGGGTTGTCACCCTGAAGGATAAGGAACATTGCTGTAAAAGAAAGTCAGTCCTCAATCAAACAAAAGTTTCAACGGAATATCTACTTTGTTATTTTACTCATACAATACTGCGTGTACCCATGCCCTAAGATTCCAGTAGGGCTGGAGTTTTGCTGTAGCACTTTTCCATTTCTTCAAGCATGGTGTTTCATTTACATGTGGAGTAATAAACATGCTTCTGTTCCATCTTTTCAAGCTTTCTCAGACCTGAGAGAGGTCAGTGCGTGCCCAAAAGCTTTTTGAACTTCTCTCAACTATATACTTGATCCAATAAAAGATATCACACAGCACTCCCTCCCCTCCCCACTGCCTAAAAAGCCTCTTGCCTAAGCTCCAAGTATATTTACATTAATAATTCAGCTAGCCACATTTGCCATCATGCTACCAGAAACTAACTAAACTCACTTTGGTCTCTGGTCCTTTAGAAATGTTTCTGTAATCTTTTCTATCTGTGCCAGAATCTTATCTGTTCTATGAAAACTTGAATAGCTTAAGCCATTCAAGTGGCAGCAAATCTGTCCATCTTACTCTTTGACAGTAACACAACACTATGTGCCAAAAACCACCCCCCAAACCAGAAGGACCTGGCAAAACTTTATATTTTAGTCTACATAACTAGAAAATTCCATATTCAAAGTACTGACTGACTTTCCAGTAAGAAACATCATTTTGCTAATTGTCTGCTAGGATAGCTTTGAGAGAGAACTGCTCTTATAGGGTTTCCATGGTATGACGCACAAGGAATAGCACCCCAGCACTTATCTAGAGATGGAATTCTATGACAAATATGCGAATAAGGCTGTTTGTCTAATCACTCAAAACTTGAGAAATGCCCAATTTAAGGTACAGAATTGTTCCTTGTGAGTATAAAAGCCCATCTTTGCTGACTGATCACAAAATACTTCCCACAGTATTGCACGGTTGCGTAGCATGAGTTTTCTGGTAATCACTAGTTCTCAATTTATTCTACTTTCATTGTTGTAATTGTCTAATCTCTGTTAATTTAGTCCATAGTAAACATTTCTCTTTTGATAACATACACATTTTTCGCTACGATGTCTACCCACGTGTGACTGAATGGGATATAACCTCTTTGAAATTACAAACTGCATTGGATGGTGTGTTGAATACCAGTTCAGGCATGCCTGAGGCCATCTTATTCTGCTGTATTCCACACAGCTGGGAAATGTGGTCCTCAATGAAGAACCATGTTACTAAGCAATCTGAGACTACTGCCTTTGAATTATTTGCTTCTGGTCAGGCAACTAATTTTTGTTATTGGGGAAAAAAGGAGGATATTAGAATTTGTTTTCTTTCATAATCAGGAAGAAGATTTTCTTGGCTTCTAACCATTACTAGCATAGGTTACCTGGCCATTACACAAGTTATGGCAATTCTAGCAGTTCAAATAATTTGTACCTGAAATTTTGTTTGGGATGAACAGTTGAAAACAGGAATACTCAGGAACATGGAAGTTCAGTTTTCCCAGCCTCCTGCCAAAGTTGGTGACCAGGAACTGAGGCCGTGGTCCAATAAGATCATAGAAAACTGCTTGGGATTCTTTGAAAAAATCCTCAAAGTTCTCATGTTTCCATGGCATTATTTTGACTTTGGGTAACTAGCACTTTTCTGACAGAATGTTTTTTCCATCAGAAACTTGTGACCAGTTCCACTTGTCTGTTGACCTGGCCCTAGGAACAATATTGTTCGTGGGTGAGGGCCTGAAAAGGTGAAGAACTTGGATCTTCTCCACCTGAATGCATAGCAAAGGGACTGAGGCCCTGTTTAAGAGTTAGGCTGTGATGTTTAGGGACCAGCCATTTGAAAATAGACTTGAAGTGGAGGAGAGGCAGGATATGGTCTGTCCAGCCAAAGACACTGATTAATTGCACGTTGGCAAACAAGGGTAAGCTTAGACTAAGGGAGGATGCATTTCACAACTTCTGTTATTTGCAGAGACCTTTCACTCTCAAATGCTTGAGGCAGTAAGGTCACTGGAGTTAAGAAACTCCTCTTCTAGACCCATCTTTCCTTCTCATAGTGTCAAATGGGTTAGGTGAACAAATCCAGAATATCTGTGGAGCTTGGAGGGAACATGAGTAACGAGGTGAGAGAGCTTGGGAAGTCTCAAACACTCATTTGGGGATTTAGGGCAGCTGGATGGAAGGATCCCATGCAAGTTCCTTGAGTTTAGGTCCCTGCCACAAAAATCAATGGGGGCATTCACTTGGTTTCTTACTCTTGCACATGATTTGTGGCTTGTGGGACACTACCTGATTATCTGACTGACCACATAAGTTGTGTGTTTGGGGCTGGAGATGGAGGGGGGGGAGGGGTTGTAATCATACACACACACCTAATGGAATGTGGAAATCATGCATCTGGGATCCTGGGAGCTCCTTGATGAAAGGTGTTTTGCTACTGTGCTGTGACTTCTATGTGGAGACAGTGGAAACTGGGGATTTATGTAAGAGAAGTTCAGAATGGGGTGGTCAAATACACCATGAACCAGATAGGCTAGTTGCTGGTGCGCTGGACAGGCACCCACCATGCTGAGAGTCATCAGGAATGCTGTGAGTGGAAAGCCTGTTTGCTTGCTTCCTGTAAAATATCTGTTCACAAAGCATGGAGCTATTTGGAAACCTATCCTTTGACGATCTTCATATGCCTTTCTGGTATATAATTAAAGATTGGCCTACATTAGACATGCTGATACAGTAACATCAGTGAAGGTTATTTCTCCCTCCCCTCTACTCCCCCATCTATATTTATAGAATAGTTCTTCACAGAAAAAAGGTCCTAATGTAGAAATGTGTTATACTGGCAAAAAGATGCTTTGGCATATTTGGCAAAACTGCTTGTTTTGCTTAAGGAATTGCAATAGGTTCTAGTGACACTAGAAAAGTTACTCTTTTCCCAAAAGAAACCGGTTCTAGGCTAGAAGGATTTGTGGCAGAGCCATACCACCAAACCTCCAATAGGCTTCTTTCGGTATTTCCATTTATTGCTTTGAATGATCAAATCTAACACCATTCTGGCCAAATAATTTGAAGAAATGACAGGGAATAGCACAGCTCTTTGTTAACTGACATCACAATTTATAGAAGTTTTGGAGTCTTGTTGTTTTTATGTCGTTCTCCTATACAAAGCTTGCTTTTAGCAACCTAGTGGCAGCAAGATAGTCCTAAAAATGTGCCTTAATGCAGAATAAAGAAGCCAGTCAGACTTGTTTTCTACAGGAATCTCTGTATTAATCTCATTCCTGGGTATGTCGGGTCTCCTGTTGCAGCTGCTTTGATTACTAAATAAGGCCTTTAAATTTCTAGCACTTGGTGAACTCATTTTCATTTCTGGTAGGAAAATAACAGACTGTCACACAAAACCTTTTCCTTTGCATAATTCTAATGTACTTGTGACACTTGATGTGCAGAACAGATGACTGTGAATGACTTCAAAATTTAGGCTGATGATTCAGAATTCATAATTAAAAACAACATTATTGTCTTGAGGATTAGCCACCTTTAAATGACCAAGTTAAAAGCTCTCTTGAAGTGACGTTTTAAAATCTTACACATTATAAGAAACTCTTAAAAAGGTACCAGCAGTTTTTTATACTGCTATCAGTCCTTTTTACTTGAAGAAGCTACTGAAGTGATCTTTTAAAAGATCTGCTAAAGTGTGTCAATAATTGTGCAAAGCCTTTAAATATTGCAAGACAGCTTACAGAAAGCTTAACTACTGCTTTAATACCTGACTGCTGAGGATGCCTATTGATAACTTCCCACACCCTTTTTAAGCTGCCAAAGTAGGGAAAAAAATTAGACTTCCCAAGAATTATCTGGAGGCTTACTGAAAACAGTTAAAGCTTTTTGCATAAGAAAAATCTAATGTAAAGAACCACTGTTTTCACATGCTTAGTTTTCTCTTACATTTAGAAAATGCATACTTACTCAGTTTAGCTTCTTCCCAAGCAAAATTCCTTTGACATACTTCACTATGATATGTTGCCAGAGAACATCCAAGTTTTACAAGTTCTGTTTGTTGAAATATGTGAGTAAAATATGACAGAATTCAGCAGACTTGATAGTTGTGGGTCAGAAGACATGTAATATAAATTTGAGGGCTGAGCCAAAAGTTATATTGACTCCCCAGTGTATCTATTTTTGCAATTCTGTAGAAAGTGACTCATTACTCCAAGTTACTTCTGAGGAGTTTAAAAACTGCAAATACATTTCCAGTGATCTGATCACTAGCTGTCGTCCTTGTGATTTCTGAAAGAAATAAGGGAAACTAATACTCAAGAGGAATGAGAGCCATTAGCCAATGAGGCAGGCTGAACAGTTAAACCACTGAACAAGCCTTTAAGAAAAAATACAAAAAAGAAATTTCCCAAAGAAAAGAAGACTGAGGAGATGCTCAGAAAAACCAAACACTTTTATCACCTGGAACTGATGATTTGTTACTTGTTTATTTGTATCATGGCTCTGCAATCAGTATCAGGGCCTTGATTGTGTAAACCTTTAGATATTGTGAGATGGTTTGCAATTGTCCATGGTGCTGTCAGAAACCCAATTCTTTCCCTCAAGAGCTTAGTGTCTAATTTTTAAATCAGGATTTTAGAAGACTTAGCTGTGAACTCAATCATAACATTTTTTAAAAGATAAGCTAGAAGACTGGAAAACAGTAAATGCAAAAGCTATTATTATTTAAAACAAATTCATCATCTAAACTTACTTTAGAATTGCTCCAATTTTAGGAAAAATCTCTTGAACATCAACATACCGAAAACATGTCATGTAAATTTTAATTTTCATGTTTCTCCTTTGCAAGAGTGAGATTACAGACCTGAACTAAAGTTTCTTTTCTCCAGAATGATGCCCTAACCATCATGCTTGTGGCTATTTGGGATCGATTCTCTTTCTCAATCTTTCCTCTCAAAGCTGTTCCAATCTGTACAAAATTCACAGGGACTTGAACTTAAATTCTTTTGTTTCTCCCACAAGGGCCACAGCAATCAGGCTATAAAGTCAATCTCCCTCTTGCCCCTCAGTCCTAAATCCTGAAAGTTACATGGTTAGAGTATGAGTTTAGGAGATGGGGGGGGATCACTGCTCTAAATAAGGCGGACAGGATTTGAAAATGCATCTTCCACTTTCTAACACTGTTTTATAGCTACTGGTCTACTAAGAAAAACCGTATGAGACCCCCATCTGTTTTATCTCCAGGTGCTTTTTATGCCAAGCTGGAACTGTTGGGCAGCCTTGGAGAACATTTCCCAGAGCATGCCCTGCATGCAAAGTAGGCACAGAAGAGCTTAGATGGAGAATCCTTGAAAGGCTTAAGGCACTGAGCAGCTAGGTAGTGTCGAGATACACATAGGCTTGTTCAGATCCATCAGCAGAAATGTAGGGCCAAGGGAATTTAGTTGCTTAAGGCATTAGCTGTCATTTGGATGGAGCTTTTGAGGATTCCTATGGTGCTTAAGGCCAGAGTTGTAACGAGCGGAATTGGCACCTGGGGCAAACCTTGCTGGAGAGAGAGAGAGAGAGAGAGAGAGAGTGCGGGGTGGGGGTTGTCCTGCAGTTTTGAGAGTGGAGGGTGGGGGTGTGGGGAGAAGAGGGGTGGTTCCAAGAGTTGGGAGGGGGGTACAGTAGTATTACCCCAAACAGTCCCTGGCTGAGCTGCTGCTGTCTCTGCCATGTGCTCTGTCTGCCCTGGCTCTTGCTCTTAAAGGACAGCAGCCAGGAACTGTTTTGGAGTTTCTGGCATAGGTAAGCCATGGGCCCAGCCTTGCTGCCAGGACGCAGACTCTGCAGGGTCAGGGGGCAATTCCAACACCAATTCTGGCACCAATTTTGCTTGTTCCCTCCTAACTGGGGGTGGGGGTGGGGGGTATATAGAGCAGTTTAGGGCAGGAAGCAAAAACCAGCAGCAGATCCAGTAAGAGAAAGGGATCGGAGTAGCGCTCCAGGAAGGTGCGGGGCTAATTTGTGGCATGCCTGACAAAAAGGTTGGCTTCTGCAGTGATGTACTCAATTGTCTCTGAGAATACATGGACTGCAAAAGTTATGTTAGAAGTCCTCATAGAGCCGAAAACTGATATCTGTACAACTGACTGTTTTTGGTGTTTATAAACAGAACTGATTATATGGTGTGTTAGGTCTCTACATGTTACATAGTTAATGTAAACTTGGGAACATAACATTGGTATAAGTATACCAATAAACAGCAAATGTTGTGAGTAGCAAATTAGTGTTGCCATACTATACATCAAAACAAATCTTTTATAAAGGAAGTGAGATCAGGAGATTTCAGCACCTGACATAGTTTGATTCATCTGATAGCTATAGCAATGCTTATTTATATAGTAATAGTAAAATATTACTCCAGTTTAAGAGTTTAGAGATAATTTGAGTGCCCTAACAGATGAATGGACAGAACATGTACTGCATGGCAATATTTGAATACAGTGTAGCACTTATGGAAAAAGCTTTAGCAACAAGGAAACAAATAACTTGCATTCACCTTATCATGTAAGGAACCACTTTCCTGTTTACCAAAGCTCCTTAAATGCATTTTCTTCCTACAGGATTCTTAAATTCTCAGCACCAAAGCACTGCAGTGCTAGTATGTGTGTCTTGTGCAGAAAGAGGACTGAGGGAGTCCTATCTTTTTCCTAGTACAACATATAACCATAAGTTGGTTGCCATCATTAAGAAGCAACAGGGGCTGGAAATAGCACTGCCAGCAGGGGCATTAGTTCCAGATGGTGTTGGGTGGATAGATAGGACAAAGGTGCCCCTCCATCATCATTGCACTCTTTCATATCTGAGGTGGGGGAGGTCTGGCTACATCTGCTGTACAGGTATAGCACACCCTATTGCCCAGCATGCTCTATCCACTTCTTTGGCTTAATATGCAGACACTGGCACATGGGTGACACATGTCCTCCCACCCTGAAAAAACAGCTTTTCTGAGTAAGGAGAATAATTGTGCCCTTAAGGTCCGGTTAATGACTCACTTCATTAAAAGAAGCTCTTGGAACAGATACAATTAATGCCATTGTCTGCATCTAAAGAGATCAGATGTGTTACTTGTACTATTAAAGTTCTCTTTTCCACAAACATTTACTTTCCTTTTTTTGTTTTTGGTCCAAACATTCCATGACAATTAGCTTTATGTCTGAAGCTTATCACTGCCTGACCTTTATTGCAATATTTATTATCCTAGATGCTATTTCAAAAATTGATTGTATGTGGCCCCAAAGTGCAGAAGAAAAATACTACTACTATTTGAATGATGTGTTCAATACACTTTCATTGCATTTTCTCAGGAGGCATATTAGCACAGCTAATTCTCCTAAACTCTTTGCTGAATTTGCTGAGTGAGTAACAACATTTTATTGAAAGCCCATGCCTGTAATTTTTTGGTGGGGAAGGGGGATGCCTTCATTTAAAACTGGGATGGCAAAAGTGTTGACCTTCAATGTATTCACACCAGCCATGGTAAATATTCAGCTCTGTTGAGAAGAAAAATCTCCCAAGCATAAAGCCCCTGCACAGCAGCTAGTTGCTATTCAATTCAGATTTCAAGTTGTACAGGACTTTATTAGAGAGTACAGCAACATGCAGAATGTACAGGATTTGGAAGTAAGAGGCTAAGGATGGAAACCCACTGTACCCATTGACTCAAACTACTTTTCAATCCTAACCTCTTAAAATTTTGAGTTAGTATTGGAAAGAGCTCACTTATTCTGACATGTCAGAATTAAACAATGCTTAAAATTTGGTTTGAATGTGCAATCTGTCAACAGAACTTGAGGCAAGCTTGCAACATTAAATGCAATGAATAAATGGCATTTAATGATCTACTGCTGTATGACTGTTTGTAATGAAGGTACCTTTTTCTTTTAATGGGCATATTCTAAATGGGCCCTTTACACATCTTCACTTTTGAAACAGTCTACCATTGTAAGCCATGTTTCCTATTTCTATAGTGGGACACTTCAAGGAATGGTAACGTCTTTCAAAAAAGAAACTGAAAAGGCTTACATTTATGCAAATTAATGTAAAATGTCATATTTAAACCCTGATGAGCTTAACACATGTTTGTACCAGATAGAACATATAGCAAATAAAAAAAATTCTACGGCAAAAAAAATCTGACTGTTTATTCTAGCAAATCTCAAATATGCAATGCAATTAAGACATGCTAACCTTATGGCAATGATACAGTCAGTAACATATGCATATGATCAGTATTTCAGTTTCATTTAACTGAATATGAATGGTCCTACATGCTGAAGAGCATAATTCAGCTTGACTCTTAATAGATGGTACTATCCATGATTGTCCTCTTTTTTTTTGCTGGCTTTTGAATGTCTTGCTTTGATGATTAAAAAAAGAAAATTAACTAGTGAAATGTATTAAAGTTGAATGAGGGGAATAAAATATGGTGTTATATATGGATGATGCCTTGCTTCATCTGACATCAGCAAGTGAATTAAAAAAAAAAAGAATTAAAACAAAATCTACACAGTGATAACTCCTGATTTACAGTGCTGAAAATTAACCAGAAGAGAAATGAGAGACTGCAGTTGCCACACTGTTATTATTCCTGTTTAGGGGATCTCCTTTAAAGGCTTAAGGGCCATCCCAAAAGATTTTAATCTGCTGCACAGTGACAGGCAGCAATAAATTAAAAAAAAAAAAAGATTCTGTTCATTTTGTGGGGCAGAATGCAATTGATTCCAATGCTAACTACTCCCAGGCTGCTTCAACTATGTTTTCAAGTTGGGTAAAGCACCTTTTAGAAATGAAAGTTTTTCACAGTGATTGATCTCATCTTCATCACTGTATGATAAAGAGAGTCAGCCACCCTGCAGCAACATTCCCAAACAGCCTGTCTGCAAGTCTAGGAAGGTTGCCATTCCTCCTCAAAGTACAGAGAATGGAATCTGGGTGTATATTAAAAGGTATTTATTTCACTTGTTATCACATCCACTACCACATTACTGCTCTCCTATACAAAATCAGCCATGTGCATAGAGTATTATAGAGAAGCTCCCAGTCCTCATTAGCTGTTGTCCCCTTTTCCACTGTGTCTTACTTACAGCTGGGGCACAAAGGCATCATGGAAGACCATTAAAGACAACAACCAGATATCTCACAAAAGCCTACATTCCTAACACAAGAGGGGAGTTCTAGCTGAAACTGCTTCAGAATACCTGGGCACAAATCTCTCAAAAATGCCT